GATCGAGCACCAGGAACTGTATCATTTATAAACAGATAAATAATTCAACCCCTATTTTATTATTTGCTGGTGCGCTTATAGAAGTTCCTTATCCTCTAACTAGTAGCAGTACTTAACCGAAAAAAAACTGATTTTGAAAAGTACGCAAAGCAACCTCTTTTTAAAGCTTTTAACTAATACTCACTTAAGCAGTGAAGCTATACTCGTTTTAAGGCAAAAAGTAAGGAATACTGAAAAAGTTATCTCTTCTTTAAATGTAAATAACTTTACTGGAAGTCTACAGTGGTATATTAGTAATACTGAAAATAGAATGTACGTTTCAACGCACTTACGCAAAAATGTTCCACTGAACTATTTTTCAATTCTGACAGAAACTACAATTAAAGAAAGATAAACCTAATATGTAAACTATATTCAACGGGATATTCTTTACTTTAATACTACACCTAAGAGCATTATAGTTAATTATATAAATGTTTGCAGATACTTCCTACCAGAATATTTTAAAAATTGAAGTTGTAATCTAGAAGCCTCTGGTATAACAGAGTTAGTAAACCTAGCAAAATATATATTCTTCTAATAAATAAATAAACTACTTGTTATGTTTGCTATTAAGGAGGTTTGTTGACATAAGTGAATTAAATAAATTTTGGTATTGCTTTACTATATAACGTTTATAGATTTAGCTCTTCTATAGTCGTTATTTTTGTGAAAGTTCGGGAGGAGAACAGTCTTTAAAATTTTTTAGAAGTCCATTTGTTATATTAGTTTAATATAAAGAGCCTATAATATAGTCTTTTTAATAAATTTTAGAATTAAAGTGGAGAAAATAGTGTGATAAGCCGAGTTTTTGGATGAAACTAATTATTTATAGTTCATATCCCTAAAGAAGGGTAGTTTCAACTTTGAGTGGACAGCAAAGAATATGTTTTTTTACACTATACTTCTTTGGGTGCTAAATATCTTTCTTTTATAAGTTCCACCAAATATTTTTTAACATAAAATTTTATTTTGTATCTAGAACCATGTACAAAAAGTAGGCAGCTTAACGGTTACTTTATTTTATAAACACGTGTTGATTTACTTCATAAAGAAAATTATGAACTTTCTAATAAAGTATTTGAGTTAAACGTAAAAAAGAAGCTCGGTCATTAACTCCGAGGAATGTATGAGCGCCCACTTGCACGCAAATCGAGTCTAAGCGGTATCAGTTTAGCTTACCTTTCACTGACTATTATAAAAAAGAAGGTCGGCTAAAATATGTCGAGATTAACCGCAAGCCCACAGCCGGGTGCAATTAACCCGTTATAAGGGTTCTTTCAACAAAATAAACCTTATTTATTCAAACTTCAAAAATAAAAAACTAGGTCTGCAAATAATTTTAATATGCAGTTTGTATAATATTGACTTCTCTTTAAAAAAAATTAAAATTTGCGTGGTTAATAAGCAATTCCTTAGAAGCAAAGATTGAAAATATAATTAATAACTTTTACACGTTTTAAAAGAAGAAACTTGGAAATTACAACCCACTTATGGTTGCTACTTAAAATCGTGGTATATGAAATATATAGATTTATCATTGTTCTTATGAAAGATGAAAATATCTAAAAACCGTTTAGTTTTGCTTCCTTATTTCTAAGCTTAAAGACCCCTTTAACATTCTTTGTAAAACGTGCGCCATAATAGGCTAGGTATAAACCGCTACTGAGAGTCACCAGGTGGTAATCCCAAGAAGGCAGCTAAGAGCTCGTAGGTTGTTTGTATATAATCCTGTGCCATTTATAATCTGCCTATTGGTTCATACAAAGTCCAAGAATCATTTTAAAAGGTAATAGAAAATTATGTTCCTCTGAGTAACCTAAAAGAATATCTTACAATAAGGATCTTAATAAACACAATTAGTAATAATATTATAATTAGAACTTTTTATTACTTCATTATGCTTCTAGATTATAACTAGAGCTTATCCATATGAAATTGGTAGCCTTCCAAAGAAAAAGCTAATTAGCAGATAATTAATAAAGTTAAAAGTTAAAGGAGAATCTATCCCCAGAGATCGCACTGATACTTCCAAAAAAAAGCAACTAATAATAAACGGTCGACAGTTAACAGAGTTGTGTTAATTAGTGCTTAAAATCTTATTAGAAAAAAAATTTTATAATTAAAGTAATAACGCTTTTTTTTAAGTAATAAAAATAGTTAAGCGAGTATATCATTTGTCTGCACAGCTCTATCTGAGCTTACGGAGTAATTCCATAAACAAGTAATACTAAGTTCTAAAACTTAGCGTAAGAAAAAAAATAAGAACCCATACTTATAGATAAACTAATCGCTTTATTAGGCGAATAAGTCATAATTAATTAAATTATTCATGAACCTATTCCCCACAAATAGCGCATAAGAACCTTCATTGTCACCTTTACTTTTATTGAAACTTTTAAAGGTTTATCTTTATAAAGGTCAAGATGATATATTGAATTATTTACGAAGCAGCATACCTTTCCTAATAAGCATAAAAGGTTTATCATTAATTATCTCATTCTCTTCCTTGCCTGGTAAACAAATTTTCTTTTAGCTTTTAGATATAAAGTTATTTTATTATCACATAATAACACCTTTGACTATTTTTGTAGCCTTTTTGCCTTTACCTTTTTCGGTTTTAAGCCTTTCTCCTATAAAATGTGTTACAAACTTTTTAACAAACGAACTAAGATATTCACAAATTTCATTCATGTAAACAAATTGAATGATACAGAAGTACCTCCTTTGCCTTTGATCTTTACAATATAATTTAAGTCTCCCTGTTAAATACAAATTATTGGTCACCCAGAGTTAATATTAGTTTAACTGGTTTGAAAATGAAAAAGTACACATCATCTAACTACTCCTTTCAAATCAGTAATAATGAAACCAAGAGAGCTAATCTCAAGGTTAGTTAATTTAGGACAGATTATCTAGGAATTTCGTGGAAAAAACATATAAAGTAAATGGAGTGTTTAAAAAAACAACAGTTTTGTGTAATTTATGAAAAGTATTTGGGCGTAGGGAATAAGTTTTATGCATACATTTTACACTACCATTTAGAACTTCAAGGAAACTTTTGGTTCTATTAAACTTTAAAGATGTATTAGAGACAGTTAGTTGTCTTCAGAATATATTTTATTTCGCTTTCTTTGTTAATTAACATTTTATAATCTTTACGCAAAATAGGATAGTGATTACAAGGGCAGTTTCATGACTTTTAGTCCATAATAACTTTGATGATAAAAGTACTATGAACGCAGTAAAACATTAAATCGCTGCACCCATACTGTAGTTCACTAGGCACTCTCAATTTCCAGCTTATATATAGTTAATATTATTCAGCATTTGCGACAACTGTAGCTTTTTTAAAAATTGTATAAAAAAGAGTAATTTATTTTTAAAATATCTGAGAGTTGACAGTACGCATACTTCAAAAAGATCCAGTCAAACTTTTTTATATATTGATCGGTTACTTTATTAAGTTGCCTTATAGGTTGTTTTCAACGTCTGACTTATTGCAACTTACATATTATATTTATTGGTAATCTTCAATCACCCAAAAGGTATTGATTGTTAGGAGTAGATACCTTTGTATATGGTTTCCCGTCCTCTTGGGTAGGGCGTCCATTTTTTTGGTGTGATAAGAAATCTTACAAATTAAGATTTTAATAATCTACCTAAATCTCTTACATTACCTACTTTTAAGTGTTTTATAAATTACCTAATAATAAAATTTAAAATTTAAACCAAGATAATCGCGCGTGCACTTTAAATTAACAATTAAATAGGTTAAACTACCAAAGTTTAAAAAATATACACTATTTAGGAAATAAGTTAAAAAAAAAAAAAAGTAATAAACGCTTCTAATAATATCTACTATTAAATGAGTCCAAAATGTTAGAGTAGGTACATTTTCTTGCAAACAGCTTAACATTTTGTTTATTCAAATTTAACTGGTTCAAATCGATACGATCGCCTTTTAATCTAAAACCCATTTTATTAACAATTAAAAATTAAGGCGCAGTCTCAACTTGTAGTTATTACACCTTTTTTAATATAAAACAGGTTTATGTTTGTAATTATATTGCTTTTTATTGAAATTTATTTATACTTTTGTTATTGCATTAACATGACTTTTGTAATACTTAAAATCACTTTAAACCTTATAAAATTTAATATTGCTAAGATACCTTGTGCTAAACAACAAAGTTTAAATAAATATTAAGTTTATCATTAATGTTCGTAGTTGATTCTGTACCAACCTTACTTTCGCTTTACTAATTTTTTTTGTTATTCTATGCAAAAAACCTTCTCCGGGAAAGCGACTAAAGATACGGGTATCCAAGGCCCCCTGAAGGCCAACCAGCAAAAAAAAAATGCTTGCAAACCCCTCCAGTCTATGAGCTCCCTCCCAGTGGGAAAAAGCGTTATCCTAGTGTTCATTCTGACGCTGGCTTATATGGCGAACGCTACACGTAGTAACCCTTTTAATAAAAATTTTTCAGTACCTTGGTTTGTTCCTTGAAAAAGTCATAATTTAAGTTTTTAAGACATGCCAAAACACTTTTTTTTTTTAATTTTAAAATACCGTTTTTGAAGAGAGCAAGTCAAGAAAGTGAGAAGTCAAATGTTTTTCCAGTGTAAACATAAATAAAGCAAGAGAGTGTGTGAAAGTATGACCTTTCAAATTATATTCATAGTATATATATTCACCACAGGCGTCAATTAATAATAATAATATTAAATAGAGGCATTCATTTAGAACCCTTAATTACGCATATAACCATTTTAAATAACTACCTGTGGACCCGAGCACTTCAAGTTATTAGTATTTTTTCGGCCATACGACGCACGAGGCACCGGTTAATTGGTTTCAGGTGAGCGCCATTTCTGGAGTTGCCTAGTTAAGATGTTTTTTTTTTACGTCGAAAACTTTGTAGCAAAGGTAGAGATATAATAAAAGCGTTTGTGTCTGTGTGAAACCTTCGTTTTTGGGCTTGATAACTGTGATATTTGATGAGCGTTAGCATGGTTTATACGGTTGACTTCACAGAAAACTAGATTGAAAAACTTTAATTGTAACTTGTGTTCATAACGTCTAGGCTATGATACTTTTTTTACTAACTCCCTACTTACGTATAGGTTTGTTCCTTCTTGTGAATTCTTCTGCTGTAATTGCTTTATTATTAACTTTAAAGGGATTGTTGAATCTGGCTTTGTTTATTTTAAGTTCCTTCTCAAAAATTCGCAAGTAAACATATATTTTGGAAAACTTTTAAAGCTTATTATTCATAAACTTAACAAATTTTCTATTTTTTTAACATAGCTATTATGTTGCAGTAGGATTTTTTTATAATATAAAATATGTCAAAACAGCAATATGTTAATAAGCAAATTCAGAACATGGTCTCCTTTATGGAGCAAGAAGCCGCCGAGAAAGTACCGTTTAAATTAATTATACGACTTCACCATATAAATATAATGCTGGGATAGGCAAATGAAATATTGATAAAAGCCGAAGAAGAATTTCTTCAAGAAAAAGGTTTTTAACTAAGTCCTTGTTTATGTCTAGAAATATATTCATTTGTTTTATTGTTTTTTGTTCCTGTTTTTTTAGATATTTTAAGATCATTTTTTATCTTGTCTTTAAAAATCTAATTGATATTTTTATATTAAATTATTGGTTTTACATAAAAAAGTTGTGAACTTTTACTTAAATCTATAACTGTTATAATATACATATAATGCATCTCTATGCTGGGGTTCTATTTTGTAAGTTGTATGTTCTGTATATATCTTAACAAGCTTTTTATTATCACTGAGTCCTTCACTAAAATAAACTTTGAAGACCTTAATTGATTTTTTTAAAGATCGCATCTTACAAGAGGAGAAGACTAAAATTCGAGAACATTATGATAAACGCATTAAACAAGTGGAACTTCAGAGAAAAATGTTATTATATTTTTGTAGCGTAGTAACACTGAGGAAATGTAGTCGTTTAATTAGTTTGTACTCAAATGAAGTTAATCAAAATCGACTCCGCTTGCTGGAAGTTCAAAATAAATACGTCAATGACGTCATCTCTGAAGCTAAAGCCGAGCTGGTGAAATTATTCTCGGATCAGGAAAAGTATAAAAGTTTCTTAGAAAAATTAATTTTAGAGGTTCGCTCCTTTTGGTAATTTACTACTTTTTATTTTTTTAACGTGTAAACTGCGTCACTTTAAAGGGAATGCTAACACTTTTGGAGCCTACTGTTACTATTCAGTGCCGCCGGTGCGACGTCGCTCTTGCAGAGTGCGCATTGAGAGCAGCTGAAGACGAGTTTTCCTGCGTTGTTTCGGGTGGGGCGCACTTATATATAACCATCATAAAGGGTCACGTGACTCCTCGTGTTGTAGGCAGAAGCTGCAGCGGCTCTGTCGGTAGCAGTTATTTGCCGGTGGCCTGTGCCGGCGGGATCCTTGTCTGTACACCGGATGGGCGGATCACATGTGACCAAACTGTGGACAAGCGGCTGAACAGCATATCTTTTGATGTACTGTTGCTGGCTTTCTTTCTTTTTTGATTACTATCGAGCTATAAAGGAACGTTAAGGATGAGAAAAAAGAGTTGTAGATACCGCTCTTCTTATTGATTATATTTTTTAATGTTGCTTCCAATCCTTTCTTTTCCATAGATGATGCCTAGAATCAGAGAAATACTATTTGGGTCGTCCAAGGACTTCAAGCCACTTTCTTAAACGAGCTTCTGGCTATAAACACACTTTGCCCTATTAAAGTTTTATTGTTTTTCTATTAATACAATAGTTGTGGTGTCGTTATAAGTAAGTTGGCAGGGTACTGCAAATTCTGTGGGGAAAGAGTGTCTTTTGCGTTTTGTGTATTTTTTGTATACGCTCCCGTTCGATCTTCAGAATTGGGAAGGAAGGAATGGTGACCTACATAATTTGTTACTGCGCCCTCTTTGAAACAACAAAATTGTTTAATTTCCCAAGCAATGTTTTACTAAAGCGCTATATTAAGTATCAGGTTGCTGTTGTGATTCTTATTAGCCTGCAATAACACAGACAAGCGGTACAAAAAAGAATTCTTTCAGGCTGTGCCCTTATGGAATTTACACACATTTAAGTGGATAATATGGCTGGCACAAAAAAAACTAGTTACAAGCGTAACATCCAAATTAGACCTTTTTCAGGTCATATATGCCGGAACCGTTGCCCAAGATTCATTGAGATTTAACACATTAGGATGTGCGCAGTAGTGAAACTAATTCAGTAAGTTGTCAAAAAGAGCATGAAGGGAAAAAAAGTACTATAGACTTACCAATACAACTAAGACTATGAGCTGGCGAGCCTATGTCATTCCCCTTACTTTTCCTACTTTTACAAAAAGAAAGTTATAAGCGCCTAGCTTTCTACTGCGTACACGGCCATTGTATTGCTGATTAGTATGAATTTTTGTTAAACTTAAATTTTACCCCATTTTCTTTGTTAAAGCTCCATAAACGAAGAAACTCTAGGTTTAAAGAGCCATACCATACGTATTTTAAACAGCCTCCAAGAGCTCCCACATTTCAACTTTTTTTATATCATAAACTTTAACCATTACCGTTTAGAGCTTTTGAACTAATTTTTTTTTGTTAAAGATTTTCTTATGAAGGGACTAATCTGGTAATAAAGTATTTACTTCCCTCTATAAGAAATAGAACATAATTTATTACTTACGAGCTAACCTTTACAACTTTAAAGATTTTAAGATATTTAGACCTATCAAATAGAAATATATAAAAGTTCTACTTATAAGTTATTATAAATAGGCTCTTCTATTTGAAGTATAAAATCTCTTATCTAGCTTTTGAAATAGTCAGTGTGGATACTCTGTGCAGTAGAAAGGCAGTCTTTTATAAAAGGTGGGATGTTGCTGTAATGAGGGTTGCATAACTGTTTTCTTAAATTGAAATAATAAAAAGTTTTTCATATAGTGTCTGTACGCTATGCGATTTAAGTATTAAGTCCACTTTGTAGTAGGGCACACTGTCAAGGCCCTTTTCGTGATGAAAGTATTGACCATCTTTAGGGGGGGGGAATCAGAAAGGTGCAGTCAATGCAACCCTAGGAAGGGACACCAAACTAGAGGGTTTAACCTTTTAAAAGATAGTGCCGGTTAAACGTTTTCCCTCACCTTTGCGAAGCTCATTCAGAATCATAAGCTTTCTTTTTAGTAAAAGAGATGATAAATAATAATATATAAAACACAAAATTTATACAAACTTTATTTTCCGTATCTAAAATATATGCACTCACAAGGCCTTCACTACGAATACGGCACTGTACCTTATAATTTCTCAAAAGGACTAGAAGTTTTCAAAACCCAGTGTTGTTCTAAATATATTTCAAATTACTTAGGGTCAAGAGTTGCAGGTCTCTGCAATTACTAGCATAATAGCAACGCTCTGCTTATCACCTGTAACTTTCATAACAATCAGATATACGGTTGTGAAAAGATCCTTTTAGAAGCTACGTTATATCAATAATAATTGCACTAGTTAGTACGACTTGGAAATTTTTTGTAAAAATTAATATTAAGAAAAAAATTAATTGGCACAATTATTTAATATATGTTTTTAACCATAAATTTTTTTAATTTACAATTTCTATAGTAGATGAAAAACTCTAGCCAAATGTTATATACAGATAAGATGGTATTATTATATGAAAACGTAAAGACGTTATAGATATAGTAGAAGTATTAACGTAAAAATTTATTTATGGAGGATAAAAATTGGGCTCTAATAATTACAGCCAAAGTAAAGGGTTAATCAACGAAGCCAGTTGCTCGTTGGCCAGCTTTCGAAGATTCCAAATTCAATTTTGGAAACCTATTCAGCTGGTAACGAGTCGGTGGTTTTTTCTCTTCATAGTAGGTCGCCGTCCGCTGTAAATTCAAGAAATTTTATATAGGGAATAAAAAAAGTTAGAACCTGTAACCTAGTAAAACAAAAATAAATGTCTATAGAAAAAAGTGCAGAGAACTTATGCTTATATTTGCAAAATTAGAAAAACATAATTTTTGTAATACGTTATAACCCGGCCTTAAGCCATGAAAATTAAATAAATAAAGAAAAATTTATTGCATATAGCTAAAAAGCATCATAAGCAGAGTGAACAAAGCCTAGGTCGCTAGAAGTAAAGGCTAAATATGTAGAATCAATTAGTTTTTGAGGTTTTTTACTCTTTCTATTTTTTTTCCCATTTTCTTCTGACAATAGACTAGTTATAAGCTTTTTTTCAGTTATACCAGAAAACTGTTTTTTGTGTAAAGGTGGCTGAGTTGGTTTTTTAGTTGTATTACCACTTCCATTAAGCGCAACCGCCGAAGAGGCATCATCACACACACCTTCACTAGTTTGTTTACTAAGATTATACAAGTTATTATATGACTGCATCAATGTAGGAAAATATGATTCTTGAACAATAACAGTTTGCTTATTCTGTTTTTCCAAGATTGATGATAGATTTGTGCTAACTAACGGAGACGCGCTCTGGGAGGATGTGATTGTCGAGGGATCTAAAGGTTTCTGAGTGTTGTAAGGTTGATCGTTAATACTTTGAGTATTTTTAATTTTCGGTGAGACCAGCTGCTGTGCCTTCTTCCTGGCTTCAATAACCTGTAAGGCAAACAATAAGGAGAAGGGGAACAGAAAGGTTGTAACTATAAACTACCTTAGCCTTCCGCAAGCAGAACTCCTTAGCAAAAGCAAAGGCTTCAGCGTCGTTCCCCAAAAGATCTCGGATTGATTCCTTAACCAACATGACGTTCTTCAACTGAAACAAAAAAGCTAAAACAGAAGCCACTTTCAAAAAAAAAAATTAAGTTACTCTTTCGTCTTTTAAAACTACTAATCATGTACCATCAATTTCGCTGGAGCCAAGCTTCGTTAGTTTTTCTTTGCACCATTCCCGAAACTCTTTTTCGCAGGGAAGGCAGCTTTTTTCAGCGGAGGGAAGCGAAACCGTTACAGGAACGACGGAAGCAGAAAGATTATTTGTATTTGTCTGTAAATTTTTCTTTGATTTTGGCTTCTCTACATTATCAGAAACGGTTCTTCGTGACGCTCCTACTTGATTCCAAGGGGACTTTTCAAGAGGGTCCACAGAAGTAACGTCTAAATAAAGTATTCATCCTTAAGTGATAGCTTTATCAAGCTATCCGCCTTAAACTCAAACTAACCGGTAGCTAGCAAAGCCCCCACTGCGTTTTTTGGAGAGGAAGTAGGATGAAGCAGTTTCGTTAGCTGTTTTCCTTGTTCGGGCTCTGGTACTGGCTCAGGGCAAGCTGCCTTTTTGGTTATCTGTTGCCCTCTAAAGAAACGCAGTAATCCTTTAACTAGGACAACTGTAGTTTTTAGTACGCTCAAGAAACCTTTAACCTTTTTTTTCTCTCCAGAACAACTTTGTTCTTCTTTTCTAAACTCTCTGCCCTCAAAAATGGCGTATTCGTATGTGAAGCCGCGTGAGACGCGACCACTAAGTACCACGGAGCAACAGTGCTCGTCTGCGGTTTTTTACTAGCAATTGTAGGTGTTTTGCAATTCTTTGATACCGAGGGGGACTTCTCGGGCTTAGTGGTTTTTTTAGGGCCCTCTGGAAGAGCGGATGGGCCACTGCACTTAGTGGCGTTGGTTGGCAGCGTGCATCCCTTACTACTATTCTCACATTTCTCCTTTTTATCGCCATTTTGGTGTGCAATAATGGGTTGTTCTTGCAGGCCTGCTGTATTTTTAATTTCCTGGTGATTCTTATTTCTTTTGTTTTTCCCCTTATTCTTGGCACTGCGCGTGTTTTCAAGAGGTTCCTGAGAGCCGGTTGGTTGTTCGTGCGAGGAGGGCTGTTCTTGAACAACGGGGGAGCTGCTTATGGATGAGAGGGTACTTGCGTTTGCTTCTTTGGAAGAACATAGGGGCTCCAGTGGCATAAATGACCCAAACGGTGGGTCGGATGTGCCATCTAACTGTGCTTTTAACTGTTTGAGAGCTGACTCCCGTTGTTGAAGTATATCACTCTCCAACGCTGATAAAGAGTGTAGGTAAATGGAATTAATAAAGTACAATTCTAATAAAAGTTACGCTTAAGTTGACGTTGAAAATGCTCTTGTGCTTGCGCCAACAAGTCCCCATGCTGTTCCTGCGGGTAACGCTTAGAAATGGCCCGAAGTTCATCAAGGAAGTGTGTTTTCGCCTGCAAACGCTTCTCTAGGAGCTGGGGGGTGTTCACTGGTGAAAATAAACAGCACAACGAGAGAAAAAACTCACTTGATGCTGGAAATGTGTATTTACTGCGCTCTGCAGCATGCTGGCTCGCTGTTCGGCAGTGGCGGACGACGGAGTGCTCGTCAGCGAATGCAGTTTTGGTCTTAAAGAAAGTTGCTGCAATGCGAGATCCTGTAGCCCTGCCAGTGTAGTCGCGCAGTTAACGTGAGTAAGGGAAAGGATACAGTTGAATAGGAAACCTAAACGCATAATGGTAGTCTCGACTTCCTCCGTGTTAATATAATTTTCTATTATGTTGTTGTTTAGCGGAACACCCAACTCACTACCAAAATGATCGCTCTTCCCGCCAGCTAAGTGGTCGGTAGACAACCAAGTGGATAAGGAAACAGGAGAAGGTGGACAGGCCACACCCTCTAAGTCTTTCTTCTCTGATAAAGTTTCAGAGGAAGTAGCCATTTCGCGATGAGGCGGCGGCAAAAAGAAGAGATCGCCCGACGAGAAGGCTTGACAGTCATTTAATGGAAAGCGCGTGTTATTATCAGAACGCGCAGTACATATAAGAGGATGGGGAGTATCGCTGAAGGGTGTAGGGTTAAGGTTAAAGGAAGACAAGTAGGCGGATTGGGGGGCAACGCGTTCCGAACTAAAAGGACGGCCGCACAAGTTGGGGTGGAGCGTGTCAGAAAACTCATCCTGCGAAGGCCGGCCAGCCAGCTCGGCGGAGTCAGCAAACGGGAGGCCACCGGAACGCTGGATAAGGCCAGCGAGCTGAAGGAAGTCAGAATGTCGCGTGATGTCCCTGACGAGTAGATCCGGGCTCAAAAAGTTAAACCGGTACCAATTTAGCATTTCCGCCGATGTAAATGGTCCTAGTAATTCGTGAGGCAACAATTAAAGGTAAACGACTTAAAAAGAATCACCTTGAATGTCCCCTTTCATGTCCCTGTAAACCCAGCGAGGTTGATGGGGCGCTGTAGACCAAAGAGTGGCATCATTCGCCATATAAATACTACGAAATAAATACAATACAAGAGGCACGGAGAGCTTGCGGGCTGCCCGGGTCATCCACAGGACAAGACTCATCTCGCTTTAGAAGGGGGCGTAGCAACGAGGAGAAGAACGACAGACGTGAGCTGCACTCCTTACCTGCGCAGAGTCAGAAGAGGTTTCGAGGTGCTCGATATGAAGCGGAATAGAGGATTCCACGGGAACATCTTCTACAGTATGCAAATATGGCCGTCTCAGTAAGAAAGCTGGCAAGTTAGAATGGCAGTGGCAAATAATTAACTAAACTACATCCCAAAATATATATAGGGGAAAAATGGTATAATATGTTGAAAAAAGACACTTTCATCCAGGAAAGAAAGCAATAAAAATAAAATTAGAGACTCGAGCGAGACTCCAAAAGATCTGCGCACTCCAACTCCTCCTTCTCAAAATTAAGAGGTCGCGCAAGATCGCTCGTGTTACAACTGCGTTGCTGAAAGGCAGTTGCCATGGTATTAAGGCGCTGCATACGTCCAAAGTAGTTGTGCGATTCAACGGCTACAACAATAAAGTTAAAAATAATGAACAAAAAATTAAAAAAAGATGGAAACTTCGGGTCTTCAGCTGACGTGGAGTCCCACGCGCCCCCCGAGTAGCCACTTTGCTGTTAACATCCTCTGACTTCCTCCCCTGCAGTGCACCAGAAGAGAATAAAGTGAAGTACATAATAACATAAACTAAAACTGGTAATACTGACGATGCAAAAATTAAGTCACAGCTTGAAAGTGGAGGCAAAATTTCGAGGGATAAAAGTGAATCGTGTTCCAGAAGTCCATCTGGGATGGGCGCTAAATAAAAGGTAATTAAAAATGCGCTTTCAAACTTAAGGTAAAGTTACCGTCCGATTTATATAAAGCTAGCAATTCTTCCTTAGAGTATTCAAATCGTGGCTGGAAAGGTTCAGAGGTTTGTTGAAGAAAATAAGGAAGCAAATTGGTAGAAGACGCTTGTTGAACCCCCGAACTCAAAGTTTGAAGACGTTCACTGTAAGGTTTCGACGAATGAGGCCCTCTTGACCTGATAGAGTTATAAATAGACTAAAAATAATGAAATAAAAAATACCACTCAAGTTTAGTTAAAGTGGAAGACATCCGTTCTGCTAACGCTAAAAGACTATAAATGGATAGTAGAAATAGTAAGACAAAAATAATTCAAATTATTTTAAACATTTTATAATAAAATCAACTGATACCTAGAATTCTTTAATACCTTATAGGTTTTATATATATATATATATAACTAACCATAACACAGCAACAATTAGGTAAAAACGGAATAAACCAATATAAATGAGTAACTAATGAGATCAATTTCAAAGCTAAAAAATCCAAATTAAAAATTCTAATTATTCAATTTATACAATCGTTATACTCATAAGCAACAATTAAAAAATGATATGAATTTTATATTATAGAAACTTCTCTATACAGCGCTAACTAGTTAGTAGAACCTCCTAATATAAAAATGTAAGACAACTTGCGGAACTATTAAGACGTTACAGAAACTATTAGGGGGAAGGAGTTGGGCTCATGTGGAAGGGCAGATGACATCACCGAATAGTTGCAAAGTGCTAGCTCCTACACACTTCGTCTACCAAAATTTTCAAAAAGTAGTCTTAAAGGCTGCAGTAGGGTCTCCTCTAAGTTTCATGATAAATTAAAAGAAAATTTGTGTTCCAAGCTCAGATTTAAAATCCTTAGTATCCTTATATTAAAAATCTTGATAAGTTAAGTCTCTTATTCAAAACCTTTTACATTTGCGGATTTCAATCTCCGGGACAAGTTGATTTTATTAATTTTATGTCCACTAAACTTTTGAGACAAGCCCCCAAATATATAGTTTTATTTACCTATTTTTTTTTTAAAGCTTTATTAGCTTATATAATAGCAATATACGAAAAAAATATATCGCTAAAAAACAGGTTTTATGTAATCCTCAGAGCTAATCAAATAGTTGAGAGCAGTTTTAACGCGTTTATAGCAAATAAATTTAAAAGACTACGCAAGAAGAATTGCATGACACACAATTAGCTGGAAGGTTAAAATATATAATTATTTATCAACAAGAGTTTGTGATTTCAGTACGTAAATAGATTATAAATTTTCTTTGAACCTTTAACTGCAAACTTTAGTTGTCATATTTTAATAGTAATTAAAATTTTGCAGAGAAACTTAAGTTGCAAAGTCTAATACGTTAAGGTAGCTTTTACGTTTTTATAAAACTAACTACAGCCCTCTCTGGTTGTAAATATGTTTTAAAGGAGTTTATCTAATAAGAAAAAATGACAAACAAAAAAATAGCACTTGCAAAGAGTTGTTGAATTATGGTTATGATATCAGCTATGCATTAAATGTTATTTAATGCTTATATAAGTTGATCTGTTTTTATCATTGTAATAAACTATATTTTTAAATTAAGATTTAGTAAAGTTTATAGAAGTCGCTGGGTAACTATATTTAAATTATGGTAGTAATGACCAAGAGAAGTTTAAAATAGTATGAAAAAAAAAATTAGACATAACCTATATTATCTTATCCGCATTCATATAAATAATACCATAATCATATTTTGTTATTATGCGTTTAATGTTCTAAAGGTAGCTAATACAACTTGATAAAATGAGTCAACTTAATAATATTTAATAGCGAGGATATTTATTTAACTTAAGGGTTCCCTTTACTCAAATTTTTGTTTCAAGTGAGCTAAAATATAAGGCGATCCTTGAAAACTTCAATTTCAAGTAAGGAGCAGACAAGAGACACTTAGTACCATATTAAATAAAGTATCTGTTAAGAAAGTAATAATATGCCCAAATGCGCACATAAAAACAAATTATTCCGCAAATTAAGATAACTACTACACGGAATTCAAAAAATAATTTCATACTAACGTTGATTTTAAAAACTGATACTAAGTTAAATAATCATATTTATTAATAATAAGATTTCCATGTGCTCGATTGGGCCGTAAAGGAAACACCGAATTTCAAGCTCTCAACAGGTGGTAGCGTACACATTAGCTTTTAGCTTGTGTTAAAGAAACCTAATATATGTGTGTATATATTTAAATTTAATTCCACCACTAACCCATAATATATACTGAGTCCGTTGAGCTGTCACATGCGCCTTAATTAACCTCATTTGTGGGGAATGATTGGTATGCTGAACAAGCCGTTTGGATGGCGTTGGCATTGCGTCGAAAAACGTTCTCATGTGGTTCAATCCGGAGAGTCTTGCTGTAAGCCGTCGCTGCTTGCAGATAAGGACCTTCAAATTCAGCTGACAATCGGTTAAGCCGGGCCACTTTTTGCCGTGGCGGTGTAGTACGCCATGGCCGCAGCGCCCTGAGCAAGGCGTGATGTTAAAAGATTAAATCTAGAGTCTCGGAGAATTGAACCCAATCCTTAAAAGTCCTGGTCTATGTCCTCAGTAACTTCTTTTCGTCGTCCAATTCAAGCAGAACTAGCAGATGATTCGTTGAAATATGAATATTGTAATAACGGCGGTATCTAGTACGTCTGATATCTCGTCTTCGCCATGTTCGTTGTTTAGGTTATTAATACGGCTGTTCCGAGAGGAATGTTTGCAGTTAAGGCCCCCACATACATCAACTGAGGATCAATTTATAAAAAGGGCAATAGATCTGTAGTAAAAAGTGTCCTGCCGGGAAACTAATAAGCTGCGATTATCAACTCGAGCCCCTGGCTGGTAAAGTGGTGTAAAACTCCAACCGCCTTAATGCTTTGCAGGGATGGCAAAGTTACCACACTGTGTTGAATATTTGGTCTAATTAAAAAAGCTGAGCCTCCACAGGCCCTTTAAAAACTGTCCTGGTTGTTCGTCGTAATGTTGCAGAGGCTGAACGGAACGCTAGGAAGAAGATAGCCTCTCTAATAATACACAGCTCAATTCTTTGGTGTTGCATCAATTCCTGAAACTCTTGTTTCCCAATGTAGAATGTTATCTGCGCCCCAGAATAGAAGACGGGCGTGACCAGGTGCTTGGGGCCTAAAAACCATTGCAAACGGAATCCCGACCTTTCACCATATCTAACGTTGTTGACAGGTTTGCCGTCAATATTTAAAGCCGTTGTCTAAGTGTTGGGTGCGGTGGTTGGGGAAATGTCTTTGTGGCCGAGTGAGTGGCATAAGAATTGGTTGGAGTTACATGGAAAGAGGTCTGATTTAAAGGGTGGGTTGGGCAGTTTGGTTAAATAGTGTAGATCTTCGCGGGTAATATTTGCAGCTACGATAGTCGGTAGTGTGCGCTCCGCAGTTAGCACAACTGGCAGGGATTCTAGTGCCCTGTACAGTCAAATGGCCTTCGCCACAGTGAGCGCATCGGGGGGCTGCAGAGCAGAAACTTGCGCTGTGCCCAGAGACCTGGCAGCGTTGGCACTGACCGACCCACTACTTTTTCGAAACTCCTCCACCCTAACCTGAAGATAGAAAATAGTCTAACTCTAACAGCTTTTGTCGATCACACCTCTGCCACTAGCACCATTAGTAAGGTCCCTTCGTGCTTATCGATATTGTTCTCCGTGTGCATCCTTGCTACGCGGAGAGGTGTGTTGCCTTGCCTGTCTAAGTCTCCCTCGTACTGTTTGGGCGTCGATATAGCGATAGCTTACTCGTAGAACAAATTTTAAAGTTATGTCCTCTAGTAGTTGGTAGGTTAAAGGTTGTAGCGCTTCATTACCCATAAACTTAGTGATAGTTCAATTGACGTCTGCTACTGCTAATATACTTTAATTTCCGTTTTTCGCAAAGAAAAAGAGAAGAAATTCTATTATTTCGCTTAAAAAGAGATGCGGCCGTTGAAACCGGATCGGAATTGCTGAAGGTAAATCGAGCATTGGGAGAATTATTATCCCTATCTAAGCCAAGGCTGGCTTCGTGCCCTCTAAAAAGCATATCTGTGTCTTTCCTAATTTTATAGTTACTGTTACTATTATTAAATATAAGATTTTTGGTGGTATTATCAACAATTTTTATTTTTTTATACTATTAAGGTGGTTACAGTCATTAAGGTTATTTGCAGAAGTATCATTACTACAATTTTTACTACTACTACTACTGCTTTTGTTTTCTGTATTATTATTTCTATTGTTTTCACCATTATTAATTTTTTGTTATTAGTGTCGTTATTATTATTTTAGTGCTTTTTTTCAAAGAGTACTTTCTTCACTCTCCTCTAAAAATTACTCATTTCAAGGCACGTTTAGTATTTGAAGAGCACAGTAAGGACCGCTAATATTAATTGTAATAGAAGAAATCCCCACCCTCGGTTCAGCTCGTAGTCTAGTTTCGTACTTAATACGTAACGCATTTTCAAAGTCCTGTAACTTTAATTTCACAGCCGTCAACTCTTTCGAAGCTTCTGAATAATAGCTAATAAATTAGCGTTTGTCCTTAATTCGGCTTTTAGAGGTGGGGAGCCCTTTTTATTAAATATTAAAGAACAAAAACAAGCAGTAATCAAAAAAATATATATTAACGAAGTTAGTTACGAATTTTAGCTAGTATATATATTACATTTATTAATTTGACTAGCCTAGTAGGGCGTGCGTTACCATTTCACCACACCGCAACGCAAGTGACCACTATTAATATAGTAATAATACTAAAAGGGTTTAACATACATATATATATTTATTAATAAAAGTATTTGGTGCTACCTGCCTACAACTCCCTGAGAACTATTAAAAACGGAAACGGCGTAAAGTAAACAAATAGCTCCAGGTGATTCCTAGAACCTCATGTGTAACACGCCCAAAAAATGTAAGAGGCCATTCGGCACTGAAGGTAAAGTTCAAGCACCTCTCAAAGAAGTAAATTTTTAAGTTGAGTCTAGCTTCTCCGTTATTATAAAGCAATTGAAAGTACAGTATTACTTAAGCCCATTAGTGTCTAGAAATTCTAATAGACACATCGTTGCCAAACTTTTGTTTCCATGATTAAAATTCTTCTTTTTAAAAATCTTGCCCTCAGAAGCAATGTTTTATACAATCACCGTAGCGCCTTTGCATTAATAATGTGAAAGTTGGGAAGAAACAGACATAGCTTTACTAAATTTCCTTAAGCTTAGACCCTTATGACACAACTTAGGTGGTAAATGTGTTATACGATAAAAAAGATATTAACCCTAAAGACAATTTGAAGAGGTTTCATTTAGGATTTTTTATAAGTTGTTAATGGCTTTAATTGTCACAAGACGTTCTTTAAACTTTTCCTGTTATTGTGCTAATTAATATGGCGTGCGTCTTTCTACTTTATTAAAAGACATTTTTTCTGAGGATGCCATACCATGTGGTTAACCCTCTTTCAAAGACAAAAGACTACAATACTAGAAATTAGCATGTGAATTTTTTATATTAAGTTCTGATTTGCTGAAAGGATTTGGCTACCGCACTATATCTAATATATATACTAGTAAGAAGCACTCTCTTCCAACAGTACCTATACCCAGTATAGGAGAGCCAGTATAGGAACAGGCACTACGGAAAATGACCCCGAGCCAACCGGGACCGAATGCAACCCCAGGGTAGAACCACCCTAAAGAGTGCGCCCAGCCCACACCATAAGATTTTTTTATATGACTTAGTTTTATTCATTTATAATGTCAAATTATTGATAACTAGATGTGATTTAACTTAATTATTAACTCTATTTACTTTTAAAAGTTTATTATGAGAAGTCATATAGTGTTATGTCAATTTTTTTTTAAAAGCTCAGTAACTTTAAACAGGCTTGGTCACCTTTGGTTAATTTATTAAGCTTCTGCTAATATTTAATTATATATGACTTTTTAATTGTAATTAATTTAAATTTGTTTATTATTTATAGTAATAAACTATAATAGGATTAAATGAAAGTTGAACCTATTTAGGTTCCACAGTTAGGTTTAAGTTAGAAAGTCTACCCTAGTGTGTAAACATTAAATTTAAATAAGTTTAGTTAACGATCACAGAGGTAGGATGTTAACCTTAATGTGTTCTCTAAGGTTGCAAGGAAGATAGCACTTGTGTGAGAACTTTATTAGACTTTTAGGTTTAATTAGCTTTAATAGCTTATCTCATTATTAAAAAGAAATGAAAATAACCGTTCAAGGAGAGGCAGGGCTCGAATTATATATACTGGTAAATAACATTATTATATCAGTCTTACTTCTATACTAGTATACTACTACATAGCTACAAGTACTATAACCTTCAGTCAACTAATGTTAACCAAAGAGTACTAATAGCTAATTTTTAATTTTTATAGAAAATTTTTAAAATTTTTTAAAAATGATTTTTAATTTTTAATGAAATTAAAAATTTTAATAACTTTTATAAATTTCGGAGATACTTGTTCAACTAAATGAAATTATGATGCCACATAATTTATTATTGAAAACTAGCTACATTATGCTTGAACATTAAAACTGTCGTGTTAGTCATGATATATTAATTAGATCATAATTTCTTAACCTGTTTCCCACTCCTAGAGAGTTTTTAAAACGAAGTCCATCAGTGCATGTTTTCATAGAGAAGGAATCAGCATGATGGGGTAAAAACCATCCCAGAGAAAAGAGCACCCATGAACACAAGAAACTGCCAGCTAACCCACATCCTTGGTTGATAGCTTTGAGACCATCTTGTTTCCGTTGAAAACAAATTAAAATTTTTGCAGTTTATAAACTATCCACGTATAATACCAATAAAGTTATAAAATTAGCGAGTAAGCAGTCTTTACATGTTAAGGCCCGTTCAATTAATTTAGCTTACATCTTTTACGATTTCACCTTTATATATTATGACAATCCTTTTCCATACCTTGCTTTAGTAACTATTTAAAAGCTTTAAAGCTAAAATGGTATTAGTATTCTTTTTTTTTTTACTCAACAAGTTAAAAATAGATTTTCATTTGCTTAAACTGTGTAAAATTTTTTACAAATGGACCATTTTCTTCTGAACACTGGTTTATATAAGTTTTTTTGATTAAACGATCTTGAGTTTTTACTTATGAATACCTTGCAGCGGATGATATACTCTTAAAAATAAAAACTTCGAGTTACTTAGAAAACTTTAGCTTGTTTAAAGATAGTGTGGCCATCAATTTTATCTTCTTAATTTATAAAAAACAAAAAAAAAGAGTTAAAATTAGAAAAAGTATTAATATGCCCTTCTTTTTTATTATTAGATGCCTTACAGTTTTAAGTTGCTATATGTGCGCCACTACAAACTTTACTAAATAGATAGCGCCGGCCATGCTAAAACTAAAAAACTAATAATATTGTGTTCTCCTAAAACTCTTCAAGAACAACTATATTTCATATAATAAATGAATCACACCTGCACAAGCGTCATATAAAGATAAAGATCGGCAGCCTCATTTAAATAAAGAAGAATATTACAGAATTGTCTAACGAGTTACAATTCACATGCCACCCCGGCACTAGAGAAAAATACGAAGACACGGAAGGGGCCAATGGCGCCTCTCCTTACCGGAGCCTTGTGTTCTAAAATCCAGAAACAGAAACAAATCAAATTTAAAATAAAAAAGTATTTAAGGAAACCCAAGGCCAGCGCCATCCCCAATTTTGGTTTTTCGTGGAGCCTTCCCGGTGCTCGCTTCTCGCTTTTCCTGTGCTATAGTTGTGTCGTCTGAAGGCGTGTGCTACGGCTTTTCACTCTGTTTAAAAATGTCCTTTTTTTAATACTTATTTGGTCACTCAAACTTTCCTATAATTTAAAACAAGTTAATGTCTTACAATCCCTACGCTGCTCTTGCAGAGAATAGTTCTGTTTTAAAGGCCCCTTCTCCAGTTGTGTCTGCAAAGCATAATACTGCTAGCAAAGTTAGTCCCGCTTTAAAACAGCAAGCTTCTGCTGTTGAAAAAACTAAACCGGTGACAAGAGCGAATTTTCGTTCTGCTAGGAATATAGCCCCTCAAAACCATTCTACTCTAGAACGACCAGGCGAAAGAAAAAAACCCGTTAATAATAAATTCCAGAAGGGACCTTCAACCTTTAGACATAATAAAAACACTGACAGATTCGCAAACAATATACCACTTCCTAATGAATTGAATGATGCAACAAAACCTTCAGGCAGATTGAGCCCGGAACAACTGGACAAAACTTCGGGTGATGTAATTGGTGATCTTACGGAGGAAGGTTCTTATTATTACAGCTGAAATTTTTTTAAAATAACTTTATTATTCAACAAAGCGCTACGTTCTAAGGAACTAAATAGGCGCCCATACAGGCCCCGCAATCGAGGAGTTGAGGTGAAAGAAAGACATTCAAGAGGAGGCGCGTTTCTCAACTGTTTTTAGCCTATCTTTTAAGTAATTTATGAGTTAGGGCCTGGCACTGGTATGAAAGAGTACGCTAAACGAGGTGGCGCCCGTCGCGGGGATTGGGGTAGGAATGACGATCCGGCCCTTCAGCAAGGAGATAGTCTCAGCCAGCCGGATGCCACCCCCAACGTACCTTCTTTGCCAAGGGGTTTGCCTGAAAGGCCTGCAGAGGCTGAGGGCCAAACGTTAACTTTGGCAGAGTACAAGGCGAAGCTTGCCTCTAGGAAGGTTGCTAAGGGTGCTCCCGGCGTAGGAGAGCTGAACCCGGATACAGAGCCTCAGGCGCTCCAGGGAAGCCCCCAGAGCCAAGCAGACGCAAGCTCCTATACTAAGCAGCGAAAGGAAAGACTCAGAAGGGATCCTAAAAGAGAAAATGTGGAGGCGTCCTTCTCTGTTCGACCCGAAAGCAAGGGGACCCAAGGGAGGCGCCCCCGGGGACCGAGACCTCACCGCAGAGAGTTGAATACCAACAGGCAACTTTTCTTCTCATTATACGCAATAGCGTGAACAGGAATACTTAATTGATTTCACATAGCAGGGTTGTCAGCAAGAGCCCGGAAGCCCCCGACGTGGAGTGCTCTGTTGCCTTCCCTACCCTATAAATCTTGGTGGTGATCTTAGCTTGCACTGTACTCAATAAAAACGTGCTCTACTCTCCTTGAATTGTTCCTGCACCTGCATGACCCCTCTTAGACCCCACTTACAGCACGTGAGCCTCCCACGTTGAGGGCAAAGACGTGAAAAGCTGCTTTGTTTAAGCACGTTGTTATGAGCTTTATTGCGGATGCGCGGGCGCCGTTCACTTCTTTTTCTTCTTTTTCTCGATCTGTTGCTCGGCGTAGTCTCTGACCTTCTCGGAAAACAAGGCCTGCGGCAAGCATGAATAAGGGTGTACGAGGGCAGTTCCCCACAGCGCTCACGTTTAAGTCGTCAATCTTCTCGATCTTGCTGTCGCTCATGGCAATCTGCAGGCTTTGCCTCTTACACTTCTCCACCAGTAGTTCTAGAAGACGCTTCAGGTTGTTAATGGCGTCTAAAGCGTCGGATTGCTCCGTATCCAGGAACTCTGACACCAGTTCGTTGATTTCCGCCAATTGGCTTTCAGCAGCTGCCAAAGTATAATAGACCTTATAGGACAGACAAGGTGGAAGTACGCTGGCACCTTCTTGACGTTTTACGTGATCTTCTTGCTTAGCCTTCAACTCCATTTTATAGAAGTTCAACAGCTTTTCTTGTGCCCGCAGCGCATTACTCAGAGAGGCGTTTTCGTCACTCGCTGTGCAGGAAACACTCCAGCGCAGGGTAGCATATGGATAGGAGCTGGTGGTTACCGTCATAGAGGGCGAGTTCTACGTTCGCTTCCGGCGCCCTTTTGCAGCTCTCCTCTATCAGAGTGTTGACTTTTTCAATGTGCTGCGGAGAAACAAGATACATAATCTCTACAAGGAAAACAGTTAATGATTGCGGGTGCTTACATCGGCGACGTCTCTTGACTTGGTGTTGACCAGGTTGGTAGTGTTGATCAACTTGTCGCTTACTTCGTGGACGCTTAAGTCTTGCTTCTCCAGTTCCCTTTGCAGTTTTGCCTTCTCTTCCTCTGCACCGCCGCAGGAGGGTGGAGTAGAGTAGAGTATTGTGGCTGCAACTCGAGTAAGGGTGAAGGTACCTAATTTACCGAGTTGTCCATTCAGCTGATCCCTCCTGCTAAGCAGCTGCCAGTCACAGCAAAAATTTAAGGGCTGCATGGACGGCGTGCATGTTTATATAAAGTAACTTCGAAGATCTCAAACCACGTCTGCGCACACCTTTCCTGAGCAGCGCACAAGCCTTTCTCTTGCTCTAAAGCTTCGAGTGTTTTTCTGTGGCTGTTGCACTCAGCTTCGCAGTCTGCCAGCTGAAATTAGTTAGTTACCAGAGACACCGTAGAATAGGAGAGAAGACAATGCTTACTTTCACTCTCAAAGCTTGAAAACTTTTTAAAGTTTTGTCCATTTCCTCTTCACTAGGCAGGAACATACCCAGAAAGTTATTGAAAATATTGGCCGTAAATGCCATGTTGACCCTCCAATAATTAAGTACAATCTAACAATATAAAAGAAATTTAGTAAGCACCAGAAAGAAAAAAAATTTACAAGCTTTAACCGATTCCACGGTTGCATATTTGTCCAGCGGAGGATTAGTACTTTTGCAGACGTTCAACAGCGCAGTTGCTCGCTAAAAAGAGTCGAGTTAGTGAGTCAAAGCAGTGACAGTATTAATTGCGTTAACCTCCTCCAGCGTTGTGTGTCCGAGTACATCCATAAACTTCTGCTTGAGCTCGCTGCACACCTTGCAGAGAAGGCACGCCGGTCATATGGTGAAATGCTCGCCAAGTACGGCTACCTGTCCCAAGACATGCACCCACACTTCAACATCCTTGAAATCGACGGAGAAGCGTTTGACCCTCTTCTCTTCTCCCGCCTGTTGCAGCGCGAGTCGGTAAGGATTGAGGAAATAGAAGTCATGCTTCACAAAGTTGTGCCTTTTCTAAGTGGTAGTTGACCCAGCGGAGTACAACGCGCTCCTGATCCAGGCTTAGCAGAACCGTCAAGTCCTCTCCTTTCTTTAAAGAGCGTATCAAAGGAAGGCGTCTGTTTTTATGAGTTAACAGTCAAAATCGAAAATAGGTTTCACCTCACAAAAAAAGGGATTTACTGTAATTCAAAAAAAATAATTCGGCACTAACTCGTTTAGGGAGGCATATCTTAAAAGATGGGCTCTCAAAACTTCCCAAGTATAATCGTGCATCTCTATATGTTCTCCGCTAAGCAATTCAGCTTCGTTGCAAGTTATGGTCGAATTTAAGTTTTTCCTTAAAGCTTTAATAAGGTGTGAACTTCAATAAATAAATAAAAAATTTCTATTAAAAACTTAAATTTATCAACAAAAAATTTTTAAAATTTTATCAACTGTATTTGTATTAAAAACATATAAACAAATAACCAGCGAGAACTAGAGAATGATTTGCTTTTTTCGATTGATCATCGGTGGCGGGAATATTTAATAATTTAGAGTTTAACTTGGCTGTAAATTATATACATATAAAGTTAAGAAAACGAAGACAGATTCTTATAAATGTCAAAGGCCTTCTTATAGTTCAACCTTTGGGAACAGCTTCTAAAAGTCTTCCGCAAAAAATGCCGTCGGTAAGTTTTTCAAATATCTGGCGTTCAAAATGGTCAATTTTAGGTTATAAAATTAATACACAAATAAGTAAGTAAACATACATTCTCTTCAGTGAAAGGTAGATAACCGGAACAGGAAGGAAGAGTCGTCGCAACTTCGTTAAAATATTGGACAAATAGAGAAGTTTCAGCGCTGTTCATTATATAATTCCTTCAGCAAACTATACAACCTTTATAAAATATATTACAAAGTAGCTTCAACAGAAAGTAAAAAAAGAAACTTTTAACTTTCTAATATAACAGTAGGGATGTAAAATATATGTAGTTAGCAGTGCATAAGTCAAAAGAGACCACCACAGCACCAAACACAAACTGTGATTGGTGGTAGCAGTTTATATAGCTGATCTCTATTACAAACCTTACCAGTATTGGTAATAATTGAACACTCGAAGTATGGCATTTTTCTAAATGCAAATCACAATATAATCATTAAACCTTAATTACCTGACTTAACTGCCTTTTAATTAAGGTTCATAATTCAAATTTGAATCAAAAGAATAATAAATGCTTTCAAACGTAAGCTGTATTACCAGTGGGGCGTTTTATCAAAACGGTAAAGAGGCTCTAATGAGTTTAAAGCTTAGACTTTACAAAAACGCTATTTTTTCTTTTTAAATGACAACAGCTACATTTGTATAAAAGGGGTTATATTAAGTACTTTGCTTTTATTTAAAATTAATTTAAAAGTGAATTTAAGCTGGGTCGTTTAAAAGGGGGAGGAACGAACTTAACAAATTTTCTGTATACTTCAGCCTTCAGCCTAAAAATGAGGCCTTGAGTGAACACTAGTGGATACAAACAATTTGGTAATTATCATCTTTACCTATTTTAATATGTAAAAATGCATTTAAATGACGTATGTTCAATAATATTTGCCTTTTGTAGTATGCCAGGAATCAAGATTTATGAGTTCTCACTGTGGTTTTTTGGTTTGTGTATCATTTACTTTATGTACAATGTAATTTTTCTCATAATGCCTTGCCCGGTATGCCAGGAATTTAGTCGTTGGTTAAAATTTTTATATTTCCCATCCTGGCTTCCTCACCGAATTAATCGTGCTATAATTTTCTTTATAAATTTTAAGAATTTGGAACAAGTGACACAAGTTTGAAGGTAGGGGGGGTCTAGATTTAATTACATTCCTCTATTTAATTTTTTATTAGTTTTAACCTATACAATTAAGTTATAAGGATTATAGTAAGTTAAAGTTAATTAGTTTAGTTGACTTTACAAAATAAAACATTAAAATTTTGTTTGACTGAGTTAGGTTACTTATTAAAGGTAAATTTTTTTTAATAACGTTATTAGTAGTATAAGGTATCTTTCAGCAGTTTTCTAAGCAATTTTCTCTATAAATATACACCAGGACTAAGTACTAGAAAATATATACTTTATTTTTACAGGATATTTATAATAATGGTTGATAACGTTAACCGGTTGACATTACTTTTCTAATACATTATGTTAACTTAAAAGCAATACAGGTTCAGGTTCATTGTCTCCTAAGCGCCTATCACACCTAGCTTTGCAGCTCCCGTCTCTTCACGCATACCCATTATTTATTTAATTTCTTGTTAATGATACATCCTACATGAGAGGTGCAGTAGATTCTTATTTGATTAAACCATCTCTTTTACAACAGGTATATTAGTGCATCGTTAGGGGGCGGTAGTTAGTCAGCCCAATAACTCTTGTGATACGCAGATTTTTTTACTATTTATCTACATAGTAAGGATATGTTATGCTTACTTTGAACAAAGAGAGGCGTGTTTTAGTGTTCCAGTTAGTAACTGATTGTGAGGCTTACTTGGCATGTAGTTAGCTTTACCCAAAAACTACGTCAGTTATCAATCGATCTCAAGCTTTTATAAGTATATACTTCACTTTTTTTGCTCTTGGGAGGTGAAAGCGCAGGTTGAAGCATATATGAAAGTCATGTAGATAATTGGTTTTCACGAAGTGATAGCATGCCTCCTTTGCAGCAATAGTAGAAGCCTGCTTAAGCAGCTTTCGCCTTAAACTGAAAAATTCCAGTGTAGTGTTTACAGGATGCGGTTTCATCTTGATCATTATATAAACTTTTGTCAACTGAAAAATAAGTACAAAAATTTTTATGATTTCTAAGGGGAAATTTGATTTGAGCATTTTATACATGCTCAAAAAATTTGGTTTGTTGGTATATAACCACTTTTTCTATGGCATGAAAAAAGGTTTGGGACGGGGGATGATCTCTTAGACTTTATCCACTGTAATTGTGAGGAAAATTATAAATGCAACAAAGAATAATGTAAGCTAGAGTTTATGGTACTAATAATGTACTTAACAGTGCTCTGTCAGAGAGGCTTTAATATTTAATTGCTTATGCCAGCAAGTCCTCAGGAATTTCTTGTTTCAAACATAATTTAATATCTAAATGATGCCTTTAAATGCTAGGCCATTGACCGAAGGGATTTTAGTCAATGTAGTTTACTACCTAATTTTAACTCCTTAATATCTTTTGGATAGTTACGAACTTTTTTATCTTGATAATATGCTTTTATAAGCTACTTTGCCAGAAGCGTACATAGTGAAAAGTAGCCGGTGTGTGTGCCCTCTTATTTCACGAGTCCAACTCCCTTTCCCCTTTCCCGTTCGGGTTTTCACTCGATTGTGTAAAGAAGAGTACTTCAAAGCAATCAATATTTAATTCTCTAAAAATATCGAAAGGGTCTTTTCACAGCAGCGACCCTACATAACCTTTTTACGGGATGAAGGGAAGACATCAGTTTAACCTCATGCAAATCAAGCTGAGGCGGGTTATAAAAGCTAAGTCTTTAAATTTTAAAAGCCGCTCGCATGGTCAGGTAGGTTTCGTTAAAATAAAATGTTAGTTGTCACCGTAGCTCAGCGGGGAGAGCAGTGTCACGCAACTTCAAGGTCGCAGGTTCGATTACCGTCGATGCCAAATCGCATTTTTCTGGTCTGGTGGTTACGTGTACAACTTTTCTACATACAAAAACTAAACTGAAGGCAAAGTGAAACCGTACGGGTATACGACAGTGTGTAGTACTATATGCTTTTGTTGGTGTACAGTATTATGCATTGTTACTATTAGAGTTATTTACTAGTATATTATATACAATGCCAGCGGAGGAGTCGCAGTGTCCATGTGGCAAAACAGTAACGTGTAATTGAATTTTACGAGTCGCTCACCCACCTTCAGGTGTTTTCATTAACGGGGCAGGGTTCACAAATTTACGCTGCACCAATCCGGCAGCTTGTCTTTCTTGTAATGCACGTGGTGGGCGCATTGAAAATTTGTCCTTTGCTACTAACCTCGAGGGTTGCCTCCAAAGTAGCTGCGAGTGGCGTTAGTATCTCGTCTTTGCTGCTAGCGTTGTATTTGGGGTCGAAGAAATTCAGCATACCGAAGCTGGGAGTTGTAGTTTGTAGTTCAGCAGTTAAAAACTTCGACGAGAAATTTCAAGTTCGCCTTTATAAGTAATGATTATATGGGTACGCACCCGCGCTTATACGGTCGGCACTCGACTAATGAGCATCCGCAAGTCATTATAGAAAAAGTTCTAAAATACACCACTAAGTTGCGATTTTTACTGTGAGCTTTTAGCCATTCTTCTATATATAAAGCAATTATTAGGTATCAACTGTAAAGACTGCCCTAATTTTTTAACGCAGCTCGACCAAAGTAAAGTAAAATTACCCAATAGGGAAATCCGCATCAAACTTTAAATAAGCATTTATAGAGGCATAGAGTATTTAAGTAAAATTAAATTTTTTGTTATTATCTATAAACAACTGCTCTTAAGAATTAAAACTTCCAATGCGTATTTCCAGTTAATCTTATAATTTAGCAAATGGCATTTATTTTAACTTCAAAAGGCTAAGTACTAAGTACTTTTAAAATAACTTTTATTATTTTTTATCCTCATATTTATTTTGTTTTAAGACATAGAACTATTTAATTATGGTAAGGGAAGAGAGGGACTTCAGCTTCGCAAACTTTTTACCTAAGTTATTAAGATATCAATTTAAACAAAAATGAAGATATAATTTCATTTAAATTCGGTAAACACTAATCTAAATAAAAGCGAGCTGTATAATCCTGCCAATAACAAAGTTATCGATCCTCGGTCGTTTAAAATTACTCATAACTTCCAAGCCTATAGTAATATATATGAGGACATCATAACGGTAAAACAATTAATATTATAAACTCTATAGTAAAAGAGTTAAAGAGAAAGTGACAAATTATAAATAAAGGTGGTTACATAACTTATAAAAAAAAATATTGTATCCGCCACGCCTCTGTACCCCTTTATATAATAAAACAGGCAGTCCAATATTGTGTGTTTAGTTTTAATGCATAACTTATATACATTATTTTCCGCATAAAATTAATACTTTGAACGCCCCTACATGCAAATCTATATATTTTTTAAGTTATAATTAGCTATTAATATAGGGATATATTAAACAAAAAATATTGTCTTTTGAAAACTAAGAAAGGTTGCTTCATGAAAAGAATTTATACACTTTAAATGAATAAGAAATGTGATGTAGATAAGTTAACAAAATAATAATCTATTTATGTCATCAGCTAACGAGTTTCTAGACTAATAGTGCAACTCTCAAAAAACGTTTTTGGTCACAAACAATACAAAAGATTTTCCAAGACAAACGAGAACTTTCGGGAATTAACGAGGCTCATGCAAAAAAAAGTATATCCATGTGTCTATCATGTGTGTATTTAGGAACCATTTTTTCGAGTACTGGATTGACGGTTTTTTTCAATGGTATTCCCGTGCTAAGCTTTTTCTTTGCTACTCCATTCTCCTTTTCTTTTTTTAACTCTTCGTTATTTTTCGAAAAATTTCTCGTTATAAAATGAAACTTGCCTCTGACTAATTTTTCTGGCTATTAAGACAATTTTATCAATTTTTTTTGTAGGCACAGCTAACTCGTTTTCGTCCTTTGCTTGAAAGAGTGTTAGTTGAAAGGCTAGCTCCAGAAGCCAAAACTAAAGGAGGAGTCATTATTCCCCTTACCGCTCAGTCAAAAGTAATTTTTCCTTTTAGTTATTAGTACTTACCATAACATTATGTTTTATTGTAGGTTAATGAAGGTATAGTTAAAGCTATTGCCAAAGATGTCGATAATGTGGCTGTAGATGATCACGTCTTATTACCAGAATATGGGGGTAAAGATACAACAGTTTAACGTATTTTGCATACTATAATTTATATATAATTATACATCAGGTACATCTCTTTCTTTAGATGACAAAGAATATTATCTTTATAAAAAGTCGGAAATTTTGGGCGTTGTTGAGAAGTCTTAAAGTAATGTAAATCATTGGTTGTAATAAAGATTAAAGTTAAGTTCTATCTTGCTATATCTTTGAAGAAGTAACTGTGTGGGTTTAAATAGTACAAGCGTATATTATTAGTTACTTAACACATTTAAGAATTTTATATGGAAGCTAGTTAACCCCTACTAAAAAATCGGTGGCATCTAGTATTCTTTTACGTTTTTCTTTCTTCAGGCACGAGCGGAATAGTTAGTACAGGCACTTGCTAAAGGATTTTTCTTTTTAACTACTTTATTTTTACTGTGAAGGATGATAAAAGATCACCTGAAAATTAATCTAGGACCACAAGTATTATCTAGATAATTTGACCTAATGTAGTTAAATATTCCAAGTTAGCAAAGCTACGGGGTTTTTGCGAAGTTTCATAAATTCTTTGTTTTTCAGGTAGTTTATCGCGAGACTAGAGTTACTTTAGTAAAGCACATTTTAGTTGCCTACGTGCTCTCCAAAGTTGGTTCAGATTAATTGTTAAGCATGCTCACTTATGACATGTATAGGCGGTAGGGCACTGCCTTTTTGTATTAATAAAAATGATACGTTTTTATGTTACTATGGATGCTTATTTTTTCAAGGTCAGCGTCTATATCCGATATCGTTTAAACAGCCACAATTTCTTGCGTCAATTTTCTTTTACCAGTTTTATCTGTTCACGTGGTTGCTGGAATCTATTTAATTAAGATAAGACATTCATGCCCAATCATGGAAGTTCTGAACAAAACTTTAAAGTTGTGATCTACTTTATTTGTAAAGTTTGAGGTGTAAAAAGAGAAGCATGACTGTATTTTTCACTGTGCTACTGGAAATTGTTTAAAAACAAGCCGACACAAGCGATGGTAGAGGACGTTGCCACATGCCAAAGAAAAAAAGATCTATGTAGAAAAGAGTGCGTAAGGTGTACTAATTTTGTATGCTCACAACATTCTGTTCTTAAAACTATTTGTAACCGATACGAAAACTTAATAGTATGTATAATCTCAAATTATGTTTATAGACAATAAATTTTAGTAAAACTTGTTTATAAACTCAGTTCGAACTCTATTTATCCTACTGAAAAGTAGAAACCCGGAAAGCTTTGTTTTATAAAACCTTTTTGGTCATAGTTACTCTAAAGATTCTTACAAGTACTATTATAGAACTCTATTTTGCATTTAACAAAATATATATATACGAGTGAACCCAATACTACCCTTAAATTAAAAATAAAGGTCTAGAACGAGATTTGTCCAATAAAAATTATTTTTTTGGGGTGAGTGAGTTTCTAACTTATAATATTTGCAAGCCAAAAATATCAAAAGTTGAAATATTTAATTTTTAATATTTATTGTCATAACGATGCTCTACCAACTTCATACGGAAAAAAAATTACTTAAATTTCCACAACTTCTAAAAAGGAGTAAGAAATTTTAGTTTACTACATAATAAAATGCCTCTGCTTGCCTGACCTTATTATATTATTAAATAATTCTAATTATTAACTTAAATAACTTATAATAAAAATTGCTCTGGCACCAAGCGACATATATCTATAAAATATATACAACAACTTTACTCTTACAAGTCAGCTAGATCTAGCTTTTAAAATAAATTTCATAAAAACCAGCTAAATATAATCCATTTGTATTATATGATAAATAATCAGTGCTAACAGAGGAGCTCCCATAGTTATATTATATGATTCATAAAGAGAAGAGTCGAATACTTTTATGCCAGTTTTTATTTCTGATAAGGAGCGTCAACACTTTTCTAATAAAGCCCTGCAAGTCTAGTCTTTTATAGATACTTAGAATAGATTACTTTATTACATAATCTTTTTCTCGCCATTTAACAGTCATAAAAGTAATCGGCTGATCCAAAATTAAACATCTTTTCGTAAATTTATATTCAGCAAATATAATCAGGTAAAGGTCATAACCAAATATACAATACAAATGGTCATTCAGTACATTAAAAACGGCCTCACTACCAATTTTCAAGTGTGCTTTTATCCTATAACCTTTTTGCAAAGAATTTAAACATAAAATTCCATGCCCTTTCCTATAAAAAGTTGAGGAGCTACTAAAGGCTAGCCCACGGCACAAAAAAACAAGCAACTACGCATAGTTGTGACCGCATCAATTGTTCTTTGCTTCATACCACGTGCTTTTCAAAAACGTGACTTTTCGGGAATATTTGAAAACAGGGAATTATTAATAGAGTACTGCCGTAGTGCCCGTGTTGACAATTAAGTTTTAGGTTGTTTTACTGTTGTCATGTAGCTATGGGTTTTTGCTGTTTGCTTTTTGCTTTTATAGCGATTTATAATCACTTGACTTAGTTTAATTATTTTAGTAGTTGTTTTACCCACTTTTTTTTTGTTATTTTTTTTAATAGTTTTTAAAGTCCTGGTTTATTAAATTTTTATATTTTGCTTTTTTATCTCATAATAGAGCTCAAATTTGTTATATATATTTATTATAAATATTTTAATAATCTTTGTATTACAAAGCAAACTTATTGTTTTATGTATGATGAGAAAGAAAGGTTACTGAGTTAACGTGATATCTTTTAATTAACCATCTTTCGACTGAATCTTTTTTTAATTCAATGTAATATCGTTTGTCGAAAGCTGTTGCCTAATTTTTTATATTTAGGATCCTTTTGAGACCGAATAGGAATGCACCGTATGTTTCCGGCTGCGTCGCGCAACCTTGTTTTTAAAAGAGCATATGCAAAAGATATAGTTTTTGCCGCTAACAGTCGAGCCTTCATGCTTGCTGGTGTAACGAAGCTCGGAGACACAGTTACTATTTTTTTATATAATGACTATAATCTTCTTCTTTACGCAATTTTTTTACAAGGTTGCTGTTACTATGGGCCCTAAAGGCCGCAATGTTATAATTGAACAACCATATGGAGGTTCTTGCTTAATATTTCTCTTGTATATCCACTTACTTATTATACTCTAGGCCCTAAAATTACCAAGGATGGTGTTACCGTAGCGAAAGCTATCGAATTAGAGAACAAATACGAAAATCTGGGTGCCAAGCTCGTACAAGAAGTAGCCAGCAAGACAAACGACGTTGCAGGGGACGGGACGACCACTGCTACTGTTCTTGCTCGGGCCATCGCTCAGGAAGGCTTTAAAAACGTGGCCGCTGGTCTCAATCCTTTAGACTTGCGCCGCGGCATTCAGGCTGCCGTGGTATAGTATGCGTGACGCTGCAGTGAAATTTTTTTTGTACTGAAGCACCTGCTCTCGTTCTAGGAGTGCGTAGTCAAATCGCTGAAGGACGTTTCAAAGACCGTTACTACTGGAGAGGAGATCAAGCAGGTTGCCACGATCTCGGCCAACGGGGATAAGGAGATTGGAATGCTGATCTCCAAGGCCATGGAAGCTGGTCTGTTCTCTTGGAACCCTTTCTCTTTGCACTGTTAAACACTTCTTTGCAGTTGGTAAGGACGGCGTTATTACTGTTAAGGATGGGAAAACGCTAGAAGATGAGCTTGAGATCGCGGAGGGTCTTGTTTTTCTTTTTCAGGTTTTATTCCTCTCCTCTCTACTGTGTTTTAGGAATGAAGTTCGACCGCGGCTACATCTCTCCCTTCTTTATGACTTCTAACAAAACACAAAAGGTACAGCTGCACTTGAGCTGCAGATGAGCGCGTTACTACCGTACGAGTGTTTTTAGGCGGAGCTACACAATGCTCTTGTTCTTCTCTATCAGAACAAAATTTCCAGCGTTAGCCAGATTGTTAAGGCCTCAGAACTTTCTATCCAAGAGAGAAAGCCCCTCCTTATTATCGCAGAGGACGTCGAAGGTCCGCCCTTGACTCGTCCTCGCAAACAGTAATTCACAGTTCTGCTTTTTTCAAGGCGAGGCTCTCAGCACTCTGGTCCTCAATAAGCTCCGCGGAAACCTCATTGTCTGCGCCGTAAAAGCTCCGGGCTTTGGTGACAGTAGGAAAGATATCCTGGGCGACATCGCTGTTCTTACCGGTCAGGATCGCTTTTTCTGCTCCTTGGGGGCCACTACTCACATCGGCTCTTTAGGCGGAGTCGTAGTGGGCGACGAAGGCTCTGAAGTGGCGCTGGAAGACATCACCATCGAGCAACTCGGCGGCGTGGGAGATGTCACCGTCACCAAAGATGATACGCTGATGTTAAATGGATGCGGGACATGCGAAGCCATCAAGGCTCGCTGCGAAAGTGCTATTGTTTGGGTTAGCCTTGTTCTTTGCCAGTGAAGCTAACTCGTGCCTTTAGTGATTCGTGCGCAAATCGACTCCACGACTTCCGAATACGCTAAAGAAAAGCTTCGAGAAAGGTCTGCTTATTGCTTATTCATGTTGGATGCGACTCTCAGACCACGGCGGGCAGATACGCCAAATTGACCAATGGAGTGGCCATTGTCAACGTCGGGGGCAGCAGCGAAGTTGAGGTCAGCGAAAAGAAGGACAGAGTGACCGATGCCCTTAACGCCACGCGGGCTGCGGTGGAAGAAGGTTTGCGTTCTTCCTGTGGGTTCGACTTGTTGCCTCTGGTGCTAAGCCCCGTCCAGGTATTGTTCCCGGCGGTGGCACTGCTCTCTTGCGCGCTTCCAAGGCCTTGAATACCCTGAAGCTCAATAACTTTGACCAAAACGTCGGCGTGGATATCGTTAAGCGCGCTTTACGGGCACCCTGCCAGCAGATTGCCAATAACTGCGCTGTGGAAGGCTCGGTGGTGGTGGATAAAATATTAAACAATGAATCTTTGACGTACGGATATAACGCCGCCACTGGCGATTTCTGTGACATGGTTGGTTCCCACCGCCTGGGCGCATTGGGCTATATTACTAACCTGATTGAATGCAGATGAGCTCCGGGATTGTAGATCCGACCAAAGTAGTCCGCACTGCGCTGCAAGACGCCTCTGGAGTTGCCAGCCTCATGATCACGACTGGGGCAATGGTAGTTGAGATACCAAAAGAAGATAAGACTGCACCTGCTACTAACGGAGTGGGCGGAATGGGCGGAATGGATGGCGCCATGGGCTTTTAGACTCTTTTGGTGGTGTCGTGCTCACTAATAAATAAAAATACAGTGTGCCACCAACTAATGCACTTTTTGTTTTTATGGATGCTATTATCAAGGACTGTGTTCGCTTACTAGTGAGTCATGAGTTTTTGACCAGTCCCGAGTAAATATAACAAATAAGTTATCTAAAGTAAAAATAGCGTGTTCAGAAAAAGCCGGTTCTCTTCCTTCTGTGTAATAAAGATATGCTAACTCCGCTGCACTTTCTGGAAGGCCAGGGATACCTTCACAATAGGGTTGCCTGTTGAAAAGCATCGAAATTTAACGCTTGAGGCTGTTTGGTGTAGCGGATCATTAGACCCGTTTTAGTTTCAGGGAAGGACTCCGGGTTTAGTTACTCCCAGCTGCCTCCCCAGGCGGTGGTTTTTCACCACCCCCGGCCAATTAGGTTTACTTACTGCCTACGGTATACTTATTTAAAAGTGTAGTCAATTTGGGGTTAAGGCTTTATTACGAGTCCTTCTATGCGGGGGTAGAAAAGAATTTCAGTTACTTATTTACCACTTTACGTATCAAAAAAATATGCAAGAATAAAGTTCTGAAGCTTAAGAGTCAGCGTTTCTTACAAGGTTATAGCACTGCTTTATATTAGCAAAGTTGTGAAAAACCTTTTTAAAGTAACGTTTCTGACACATTAGAAGCGAGCTTTTTCGCGTTATTACCCATATGAAGACCATAAACCGCTTTATTCGCTGAACACAATTTTACCATTTTTGTCAGCTTCGGTTATAAAATAACTTGGTCACATGTAGAAATCTTTATTACAAATATAAGGAGTCGATTACAATATAAACTTTCGGGTAACTAAAAGGCACAAACTAGCGAAGAGAAGCCATATTGAAAGGGTTAAGGCAATCTCAGCACAAGCATAACAGCGGTTAAACGAGTAAACACGCGACGGTTGAGCGGGCAACGGTGACGGTTGAACGAGATGGGCAGTCGTCAGGAGAGTTGGTCTCTGTCTTAAACCACTTTCGCAAACTTTTTGTTCGCCAGAGCAAACGTATGCACCTGCAACTACTCCACATACTTGAGGTGCGAGTTCACAGTTGTTATTTTCACAAATATTTTGATTCATTGCGTAGAAGTCGTTTTCTAAAGCACTATCATCAGTTGGTTGAGAAGGACCGCTTGATTCTAGTATTGAAGCAGGATTATTTGCAGCATCAGCTTCATCTTTTCCAATAAACTGAATCTCAGCTATAGCCTCTTTGTCCTCGTCGCAAACTTTGGGAGGAGCACCTATACTGGACAATATAAGCGAAATAACGGCTAATATATATATATATTACTAAAGTCTAAAGGCTTTATAAGTCTTATATTTTCAACCCCACAACTCTCGCACTTCCAGGTCGAAGATCTTTGTAAAAATTTTATTACGTTTATGAAGATTTAGTGGTTGCAAAGTATTTGCCGTTTTTACGCGCAGGATTTTATTTATGCTAGATACACTATAAGTTTTCAGCGCTATTCGCCGCGTAAATAAATAAGTAATTTTTATATTTGTTCTCTGTTTGGGGGCCATACTACAGCTACTTTCCCCTTATATCTTCGTCTTGGAGAATTTATGACTATTAAAGTAGTAGCTTGTGACAGTGCTACCCTTTTTTAACTAAAGGGTTAAAGAGAGCTTGAAAAAACCATTGAAAAGGCAAGGTAACGAAAATTATTAAGTTAATAAAGCTTCTTGGGTCCCTAGTTTTCCAGAGCTTAATACGTTGTGTGGATAACCATACCATAGCCTTGCGCTCTTTCTGGAAAATATTGTTAGGGGATTCCAACGTAGTAAACTAGTAAGAGGCAACGGCGCTGCAAGAAGTCGGTAAACGTTATAAGGAGTCACCGCTAGCTAAATAGAATAGGCCTGCGATTTATGGCGCGCAAGCACTAAATTTCATATAAAAACACAAAGTCGCAGAATTTCAGTAATAAAAGTTATTCGACTGAGGTGGACCTCCACAAAACTGCTTTTTGAGAAATTCTTATCATTAGTTTGTCAGACATTAAAAACCTGTGGACCCCAACTTTTACTAAAAACAAAATACCACCATTTTTCTGTTGAATAATCAAATAAATATATCCACTGCTTGTATGAGCAACGCAACGTAACTTAGTGGTTAAAATATAATTTTTCCTGCAATGTATAAAAATTGTGGGGAATGGTGATGACTACTTATTTTATCAGCACAATACTGATGAGTAACTTCAGAAAAAACGGCAAATATTTTTGCACCAACCATGAATAAAGTTAACTTTTACTTTTTAGCCAAAATTATTCTTTCTTCCTCGGAGTAGTCTAAAGAGCCGACGCTTCCCTTTCCGTCGGAAATAAAGTGGGAAATAAGCGCTATCAAGACGGTCCTTACTAAAGCCGCCGAAAAACTACTTAACCACTTAAAGCTGATTAAAAAAAAAACGAACTACTCCAGGAGGGGCGCCAAAACTCAGGATGATAAGCAGAAATGCTTAAACATATCTTCTTTCCTGTCTCAAAGCGGCCGTTGGGCTGTTATATAGATAGACTTGGTAAATTTTTAAAACCAATATATTGCATACCGTTAGAAGTATAATATTCGGCGGTTTAAAAGGGTACTCGGAAGGAAGAAGGATGCGGCCATGGTACACGCCTTACTTATAAAAATATGATAGTGGTAAATACTTATAAAGCTAACAAGGTTACGTGTAAAGATTAGAAACAATAATAACAAAAAGAAATGCCTTAAAAATTTATGATAAAGTACTAACCCATGTTAAACAAAATAATAGTAAAGATTTAAAAGAATGAACCATCCTGATATGGTGAGTCTTGTGGCCCACGTATGGTAAAATGCCACTCAAATATATTTTCTTCGCAAGGTTGTGCATAATATTGATCTAAAGGAAGAGTGTAAGTACTTTAACAAAAGCCATAAGTGAGTACTCGTAAAACTTATATAAAAAATAAAGAAGGACGCAATTTTTCAAAAAGTTAAAAAAAAATAACACGAAGGTATAAACCGGTTGCCTCTCGTAATTCACTGGCTTCTTTTAATACTCGTTTAACCGCTACAAATACAAAGCAAAAAGCTAAGGCAAATAAAGGAACTGTATTAAAATAAACTCTCTTACAAGGGCTTTTATGGCTACAAAGGGGCATAGCGTAGAATAACGCTCTTAATATAAGCTTGCGAGATAGGCAACCGAGGGACACTCTTATCCGGGTTTAACAAAGGGCCCGACTTACAGGGCAGTTCAAAGAATATTAGTCATTAACCAGCACACTTTAGTTTTCCTGTTTAATCCTCCACCAATACCGTTGGCTTTTCAGCATTACAATATAGGTAAGTACGCTGGGCGGAATCGCTTATTATAAGCTTCCAGTTCAGCGGAAAATCCAGGGCGAGAGGCACGCGTGGAGATTATTTGGGAGCTTATAGCTATGTTGTCAAGTTAATTTTACTGGCGTTTGTACTTGCTTCCAAAATACTATTAAAACATTAGAAGCTATGATTATTAATTGAAAAACTATATACTATAAGAAATTGCTTTAATAACCTTTTGGTACGGAATTAAAATTATATATGGAGAGCCTAGTTAAGCGTAGCATCATACAAATTAGTCACATTGAAAATGTCGGTAAAAGATTAAAAAAAGGTAAGCCATCTGCTCAACTGTTTTTAAAATGGCACATTTTTTAAATTAAATTAAAATCCAGGATTGTCTCTTTCTAGATGTACTCTACGTGGTCGAGATTTTGCATCTTTCGATTATTGAAAACGACTTCTCAAGTAGCTATTTTTTTTTTTCAGCTTTATAAAATTGTAATTGAATACGAACATATAAGGTTGCTAACTATTTCAGTTAGAAAAGATGAAATGCATTTGCCCTGCTTGTGCTCTGAGTTCCTTTCCCGTTTTCTTCAAGTTTTTTTTTAGACCACGTCCTTTAACTTCTATTACTAGTTTTTTTCATCAAACTTGTCTGTTGTTACGATCTCAGCTTCGTAACAAAAGATCTTGGAAATTAGTTATGAAGACTTTATCACAAAAATACAACTTTACGTAAGGGCAAAACCTCTTAAAAAGTGATCTGAACATAATTTAAATTATTAAATAAATCTTTCCTACTGGGGTCGCAAGCATAGGAAGGAGATTTACCGGAAAACAAGGGAATACTTTTAAAAAAAAATAATACTTTGGTCGAGATTACCACACCTCTTAAAAGAGGTAATGTTTTTGGGCTCCTCGTGGTAGCAATTTATTTTTACTTTATACGATGTATAGTGGCTGTTCTTCCCAAATTTTAAAACAATACTACGCTAATTTAAGTATACATTGTGCCTTTTCTAAGTTTTTACAAGATCTTTTGTTAAAAAAGTAAAATACTTTTTAAAGTAAATTTACTCTGCTTATACTTCTCCCTTCTATTGAAACGGATTTATATGCTTCCTATTTTATTAAGTTGCTGTACATATCCAATAAATTTAGGTCTCTTTTAAATTGTTAGCCTACTTTTTGTTTGGTTACTTTTAAAATTAATTACCAAAAAACATTGGTAAATGGTGAGAGCACTTCTGACCAATTACTATTTTTATGCTAGGCCATCATCGGGTTATTTGACAAAAGTTTGTAGTCGTACTGACTGTTGTATGTTTGCCAATATTTACTAAGTACTGTTTTCCATTAGTGGTTGTTACTATATTTATACCTTTTACTATATATATAACTATCACTGTTAGTTGAGACTTGGTACTAAATATATGCTCCTTAGTTTTGTTCAACGTCTCTTTCGAAATTGTTTTAACTACCTTGATAAATAATCTGTAAATACTTTGCATTTTTATAAAGAGTTAATAATCTTTTTTCTCGATTTGTATATTATAATTTAGTTATGAGAAAGTTACTTTATTAGAAATCATTTTATAATAGAAATTCACAGACGTTGGTAAAGAACTAACTTAAGCAACTTAGTTTTATTTGAGCTGTACAAAAACCCCTTAAGTTTCATAGTTGTTAAAATCCTAATAGAATCACAGTAACTTCTTTTACTTCCACTTACTATAAAAATAATAATTAGTGTCAAGGTTATCAGACTTTCTTGTCTTGCTTATAGTAAATAAAGGGAAGCGGAGAATTTAACCCCTTGACGGGCAAAAGTTTGACGCTTAAAATAGAGTTGTTTTACGTTCACTGGTGACTAAATTTACCACTTTTTTAAGTTTTGTTGGATGCTGTCTAATTCGTTAGAACATGGTCTCAAACTTACCAGAGATCGATTCAGAGACAGAGCCTCTCGTCTGGGGTCAGGTTCCATAGAACTACCCTTGCAAATGGGACCTAGGCGACATGTGGTAAACATAGCAACCAGTAACCTATAAGGGGTTAATATGGAATAAAAAATGTTTGACCAGCAGAGGTTTTTCAAAGCAATTTAAAGTTGTTTTAAAAATAAAAACATACAAGAAAAAACCGGAACGCCCTACAAACGCTTATATTTATAGTTTAAGACGCCATTGAGTATATTTTTATTAGTGTTTAACCTAAAATTCTTTATCTGTAGTAAAAATTTTATCACTTTCTACAAGATTGATTTAAGTTTTACCTTCAAAGTTTTAGATCGATGTATCCCTATCAGCTAAAGAAAGAAGAAGGTAGATCTTTTTATACACTTCAAAATATTAGTAATTTTTTAGGCATTCTTCTAATCTAAATTCAAGTGTAAACATTTTGCAATCCCGTGAAAAAAAGGAAATCGTACTTTTCAATAAAAAAAATTATTTTTACTCGGTTTAATAGTTCCGCAATAAACTAAGTAGTGCAGATAGTTTGAAAGAAAAATTTAAGAAGGAACTAACGATAACTAACTCCGCTGCAATAATGCAAGAGTTAAGCTAAAGCTGAGCGCAAATGGCACTATAAAAATAAGCTTACTCAAAATAGGAAATGACTATAAGAGTTAAAGTATGCTAAAGATCTTGAAAATAAGCCATTTACTAGCGAATATTATAAAAAAATTTCTAAAAAAAGGGGGATAATATTTGACGGAAACTCTGTTTGGCATCGGCTTAAACCAAAGAGCAGAGTTGACTCTACAAAAACTTGCATTCGATTCAAAATAGTGTAGAACAGAAAACTAAAGTTACGTGACTCAAGTCAGAATTCTTAACTTTGACGTCCTGCTTCGCCTTCTCAGCGGGAGCACCGAATGTTGACCGCGTCACTCCCCTTGAAATAGTGAATACCACACAAGCCGCAGTGCATAAATATAAGGATCTCTATTAAATACGTGCTGTTCTTAAGGCGGGTTTCAGACGCATACTCTTTTTCTTGAAGCTCTTTAGCGTATTTAAAGCTAATGTACAAATACTACACAGCCAAACATACAATAACTAATTTCTAACTCAGATTTTTGTTGAAGAACGTCGAGCTCCTTTTCCATGTAAGGCACCAAATTCCCTTAAGAGTTCAAAGGCTTAGTATACGACACGATAAAGACGATAAGAACGGACTGCACCGTCCAAAAGAGCGGTGGCTCTGCCAAAAACGTCTTCTAAAGTCTCCCAAACGACAGGCTGGTGAAGGTACCCTTCAGGGTTGCAGTTGGTTATAATCTACACCCTGCCGGAACAGTATATGAAGGAAACGAGCCTTGGTCAGTTACGAGGGCATGCAACTTTCCTCCCATCTTATAAAGAACGCTAAAATGGTTGTTTCGAAAGAACACCACCAGCTCCTCCTCAGGCAGTTCTATGGTAAGCTGGAGAAGTCCATAGGGAGTCAGCTGGGTTGGGTAACTTTGAAAGAAAAGCTCTAGAAGTGCCCCTAAGATCTTCTTTTATAGTATGCCCGCGTAAATCTCAAAATATACGAAACCCTCAAGTTTTTCCTCCTCGGTGGAATCTTCGCTTTGAAGAAGTAAAAGCTTTTCTACAGCTTGATTATAGGAGAGATTTTCTAATTTTACTTAGCTAGTATTGATGTCTCGAAGAACTTAATAATTTTAAATAACCTAACAAAGAAGCGCCGGCGTCTGTTTCAGGATCAGGAAGCCATCCATGATAGAGTTTAATTCCAAAAACATCAAAGATTTCAAGTTGGCGAGTGAACTCAAAACCTGTAACCCTTTAACCACTAGTCAATCAAAATAAATAAAAAGAGAATTTGTTACATTAAAAAAACCAAAGAAATTCTGCAAACAGTAATAACGTGACTGCCACTATTATTTTGTAAAAACACTGAACTTGACCTAAAAAACTGTTGTACACTTAATAAGTGGTAAGAAATGTACGAAGCGCAATCCTAAGTAAAAAACACTACATTAATTTAAACAAAAAAAGGCGCTTTCGCTTAATTATTCCTGTAAAATTTTTGCCTACACAGAACTAATAGTAATAAATTCGTTATATAAACCAATTAAAAATAATATGCTATAAAATAAACTTATTTTCAAAAAGTTAAATTTAATCAATATTATTGTTTTTAACAATTATTAACTTCTAAAAAACATTATATAATTAAAAAATTACAGTAAATAGCAATTAATAAGATCATTAAATTAGATATAAGAACAAAAAAGTAACAAAAGCTTCTACTTTGAAAATTTAACATTCACATCTAAACCCGTCTGCAGTTGAGGAAAAATTTCAAGGCAATCAGAAATGCGCAATTGAAAAGCACTGCTAGATTGCCTTGACATGATGCAGTTTAATAGATCACTATAGAATTAGTAACTATAACTTCCACCTTCTGGATTCAATTAAAATATAGTACACTAATAATGAATATAAAACTTCGTCTGTTACGCTATTGGTATCTCTTGGTAACCTCAGCTGACTTCTCAAGATTAATATGTTACCTATATATATTGCATTCAGTTATTTAAGCTTTAACAAAGTTAAACTCTAATATAGATATTACAAACAATACACATTCGTTTAACAAATTACAAATGGCTAGTAAAGGACAAGAGCCATTTTCATTTTGGCATAAGATATTAAAAAAATTATCCTTCCATTTTATTTTTTTTAAACTGTAGACGGGCATGTAAGACGCCCAGTAGCTAACAACAGAATAGCCTGAGATAAAGTTGCTACACTCTCGCTGGACTCTCCGAAGCAGGGTTATATTAGGCTTCACCACGTGTTCAACCAACGTACACTTAGCTAGTACAAGAACATTACCATATCATTTAATTATTTATGTAATATACGGGAGAATTACACGTGCAGCTGCAGAATAGGTCAATAACCTTGCTACCTCTCTATATACTAATTTTATTGTTAAAAGCACCAGACAACTTGAGTGACTACGCGAGTGGAGTCTTAACTAACACAACGTCAATTGGAAATCAAGTAAAGTACTGAACTTTAAACTTAAAACAATGAGCAAAACCTGCTCAAGCAAGTAGAAAGTATTTTAGGTGTTTAATGGTTGGACTTCTTTCCCTTTACCATAAAGTGATAACTAATTTCACTTATTAGAGTACTTTTTTTATTAACTTAGTGAAGTTTTTTTCCCTGAAAGTTGCTATACATATTTAAGTGCTTTTGAATAGGCGCCACGATTTGTTCTGGGACGCTGAGTGTGACCCGTAGAGACTCGCGAAAATATTATTAATCTATATTAAAACGATTTAAAAGTTTACATTGTTAACTATAATAAAAAAAGTAAGTTATTAGATTATTTTTAACTTAGCTCTTGCGTAGTTCAATAAATAATTTTTTTTTTTAATATTTCTTGGTATTCCAATAGATACTGAATTTACGAACTTTCAACAGGGTGATAGCGTACACATTAGCTTTAAGCTTGTAATAAAGTAATCTCATACGGTGCCGCATCTATTTGCTTAGGAGCGCGGGTATTGCCATGACGTAGCCTCAGGACAGCACACTGCCAAGGCTCTGGGCCCCAAGTAGAGGAGTGCGAGGGTCATGGCGCAGGGCAATAATGCTAGTATATTATTGCCGAGACGTAGCTTTGGTTATCGGTAGACTAACTGTAAGGGCAAGTTTCGGATGCTCATTTTCGCAAGATAAACATAATTCTGCAAGCCTCACTGACACCTTACAGGAATAATTTACCAAAGATTTAAAGTCTCCCACTCTTACTTGTTTACCATTTTTAAGAGCAAATCTTTCGATTCGCAAGTTATACATACAGTTCTCCAAGGTAAACTCTCACCCTCTTGTTACTATGTTACTTCGCACGGTAACCATAATCAGAACCTAAGACTTTATCTTACCTTGTATGCAAAAGTGCTAATTAGAGGCTACTTGCTGTTTCTGTTAAAGCCAAAGCAAGTCTCAGATCCTAGAGGGTTAATAAACACTACAAAGCTAGTGCGTAAACACGTTGTGCGATTAATCAGGCCTAGAATGGCCATCCAACTCATACATAGTCATTGGTTAGATTCAGTGCATTGTTGTTCATTATTATTTAAGAATAAATGCTATACCTCGAAATAATTCTTTCGAGTTGAAGTGTGTTAGCTTTTACAAATATTGCTTACATCTTTATATATATTAAAATTTAATTCTACCCCTAACCCATATAACATATTTAGAATTCATAGCGCGGTCAGCGATAGTTTGCGCCGTAGTTGACCTGATTTGCCGGTAATCGATTGGTGTGCTAACCAGACCGATCGTAGGTGACGATAGCACTGCGTTGAAAAACGTTACCCAGAGGTTCAAGCTGGTGGTTTCGCTGTAAGAAGCCCTTGCGAACTATTACGGCGCGCCTATCATAAGGCATAGCAGCTTGTTCTGTCTCACTTGAAGCGAAGAGACTATTGCTGATGAGTCGTAGGCCCAGGCAATAGACGCGTATGTCATGATCGGTCAGATGCACAACAAAAACAAGCGTCATTTGACATGCGGCGAAAGTTTCCTTCGAGCATAAAGGAAAAGGTAAAGAGTTTGAACCGCCGCCTTGACCTTCGCAGAGATATAGTTTAAGTGCGGTGGCCACGAGCGCTTAGTATTATTAATGGCCCCCAGGTACTTCGCCCCTGAGGACACCAAGGAATTACCTTATTTTCAAAGGCCAGGGGCGGTAGTGGTGTAGTGCGCTTTTTTGTGATAAGGAGGGCTTTGTTCTTATCTGCAATAATAGTAATTCTAAAAAAAAAGCGACGACAGCAAGTTGGAAAGCATCCCTAGATAGTACGGCAGTTGCTGGCGCTAGGGCGGGTGACTTTGACGAGGAGTAAATCGCCATGTCAGTCGCATAAGAAGCTCTTCGCGTAGATAAAGTGCAAAGAGTAAGGGTGATAAAAGAGCTCCTTGCGAAATTCCGACTGTAGTGGCCTACCCCTATATCGAAGACGCGGTCCTCAAGATAAGATTTGATCATGTTAAGAAAGATAGGAAGAAGGGCTATGGCGCATAATTTGTAAAGCGTGCCAAATTCGGTCAAACGCCCGTTATCTTCTTTAAATTGAAGGCACGGGTGGTCCACTCTGTCAAGCAAAGAAGTTGTGGAGTCGTGGAGTATCCTTGGCGATATCCAAAATGGCTTGCGTCAACCAATGCCTTCAAGCGGTGCAGTATGACCGCCTCAACCACCTTGGCAACGGCTGACAAAAGATTGATAGGCCTGTATTTTCTTGGCGTAGATGTTGGTCGGTTGTAGTGCCTTGGGAGCATCACAACCGTTGCCTCTTCCAGCGCGATGGGAAGGTGCTGAGAGCCATCGTACAGTTGATGAGGCACTATAGGCGTTCTACCGCCACTATTGGTAATTGCTTTAACTTTACGTAGGTGATACCGTCGGGGCCAGACGCCTTTTGTCTTGGTAAACTCGTTAATAGTCTCTACAATTTCGACTATGATGAGTAACTTAAACTGTTCCTCGACATCGGCAAGGTGTAAATCACAAAGCACTTCACCAGCAACTATACAAGCAGGTGGCACACACTGAGTAGCGAGGTGATCAGCAAAAAGTGTCGCTTTCTCAGCACCATTTTCCGCCACAAAATTACCGCCCGTATAGTTGGTAATGGTTAACGAGCGACCATTACTGTAATCATGATATATATTACTTAACTTTCTCGCAACCAGTTGTGATGCGCCAACTGCTTGCAAGGATTGAATGGGACGCATGGAAAAATATGAGTCTTAACACAGATCAACTCTTTCGCGTTGCATCAATTACTGCAACCCTTGTTCCTATGTAGAACGCTATCTGCGTTCCAGAAAGGTAGACGGATATGACGAAGCGCTTGTGGCCTAAAAATCATTGCAGTCGGAGTCCGCCCCCTTCACTATCTCTAACGTAATCGATAGTTTCCTCGTCAATACTGAAAGCAGTTGTCGAAATGTTTGTTCTGATTATTGGGGGGTTCTTTGATAAGCTGCCTTTTTTGTGGCCTAGCAAGCGGCATAAGAAATCGTCATATATTGGGAGGAGTCTGTGTGCGAATTATAGATAGAAAAGTTTGATTGAAGGGTGCAGCTACGATGGTTGGCAGTGTGTACTTCACCGCAGTTAGAACAACTGGCAGGAATTCTCGTGCTTTTGTGCACTGTACATTCAAATGACCTTCGCCAATTGAGCGTTCCGGGGGCTGCAGAGCAGCAACTTGCGCTGTCTCCAAAGACCTGGCTGCGGTGGCACTACCGGACTCATCTCTTTCGGAGTCCTTCACCCTAACCTGAAGATAGAAAACCGTTTATAATTCTAACAGCTTTTGTCTATCACACCTTGGTATATGCACTAACATCATCGGAAGGTCGTTCCGTGCGTTTCCTGGATTAACAGTGTCCTCGGTGTGCCTCCTTGCCGCGCGTAGGGATAGGATGCCTTGGTGCGTAACTCTACCCTACACGGTTTGGACATCGAGCTCACAATATATTCACTAGGAACGAAATTTAAAGGCATGTCTTCTATTAGTTGGTAGGTGAAATAAGGTAGCGCTGCATCACGCATAATATTGGTGCTGGCTCGTTACTCGTCTGCTGTAGCTGGATGTATTTTAATTTCTTGACGGGTGTCCCTAAACTTCGGAATGTTGTTAGTGCGGATGGCTAAAAGAAGTTTTACAAAATGATTTCACTTCTGTTTTTCGCAGAGGATCCACAGGCGGGATTTACTATTTGGCCTCAGAGGAGCTGCAACCACGGAAGGTAGCTAGGAGTTGCTGGAGGTGTTTCGGGCTGTAGAAGTATTGCCCCTTTCTAAATCAAGCTATCTTCGTGCTCTGTATGAAGCTTATCTGTGTCTTTGTTACTATTTTCAAAAATAGAGTTTTTAGTTGTATTACTATTATTTCACTATTTAGGTTGATACAGTCAATAAGGTTTTCCTACAAGTATTATTTACTAAATTTATTACTACTATTACTTCCTTTGTTTTCTGTATTATTATAATTTTTTTTTTATTTTTACTATTTTTAAAGTTTTTATTATTAGTGTTGGAGCCCTTTTTATTAAATAACAACCGAACAAACATAACAGCTAACCCAGTTATGTCAATACAAGGGCGCCGTGAACCCAATTAATTTTTAAGACATCTAGATAATATAGAAGTAGAATTTGTTAAAATGTCAGATAACTAAAGTCCATAATTTTTTTAGCACCATTTACTTTTAAAGGTAAATAAAGTAAATAAATCGAGTGAAAACAATAGGGGTCAGATTCGCATGAACCTCAGCCCTTCTTTACTACCAAGACTTGGAGTGTTATAGCATTTTTACTCGCAATGTAATTAAAACTTTAAATAAAATTAGAATTTATGGTGGAGGCAAGACGTTTGTGGCTTTATTTAAATTTTTTTTTTGAAAAATAAAAGCAAAAGGAAAACTGTACTTTGAAAGAAGAGTAAGCATTCTCTCTTATCTTTATCCTTTTAAAAAAAAAAATTTCTAATAGTACTCTAACTACAGTATTAGTTCGAATATAGTATATTATTATTATCAAAGGGTATATAAATGTCTTTTTAACAAAATTAGAAAAAGAATATATAAAAATTTAAGTCAACAAAAAAAATTTATGAATAATTTGGCTAATCATAAGCTGTTTTAGTCATTACTGATTGATTGCTAAATAACTAACTAACCTTTTCA